CTGTAGATTATGATTAATTTTAATTTACAACAACGTACCATTTTGCAGACTTTTAAAGAACTTTTAACCAGCTAATTCGTATTGCTTTCTAGAAAGGGGATGGGGGTACAGTGTAACAAACCTTATAATATCTTCATTCTTTCGCAAACTGTTTTTTTTTTTTCATTTTTCCTGAGATGTATTTCAGAATGAAGTAATATTTATACTGCAGTTTGCACATTTTATTTGCAAGAAATTCGGCTGGTGATTTTTGTATGCAGCGTGAAAGTTGATCACAATTTTCTTAGTAAGATTATTATCTCTGTCTCTTCAGTAGAATTCTTCATGTTTACCGCATATAATATTTTAATCCATATTTTACATGATTACAGATTTTCAGTGCAAGTATAACTGCACCAATGATTCGCCTATAGTAAGAATCTTAACAGAATTAATGTGAGAGTCTAATACGGATCTTTTTTAAATTTGACAGTTTATATATGTTTTAAAATTCTCACAAAATAATTCATTAGTAAAATCACGCATCTGATATGTACTACATATGAATGCATACTTACGACAAAAACGATCTTGTATCCGATAAGATTTAAATTAATAATTTAAATGAGCAGAATTAAAATCAAAAGTAGAGACAACCAGGGAATTAATTCATGAAAGCGTGTTCTATCTTAGTGGTATTATAGTCTATTGAACTTTATTAGGTCACCTGAGTAAACTCAGGTGACCTATTGCTATCCGTTTTCGTCCGTCGTCGTCCGTCGTCCGTCGTGTGTTGTGTGTCGTGTGTCGTGTGTTAACATTTGAACATTTTCAGCTTCTTCTCTGCAACCACTGAACCAATTTCAACCAAATTTGGCACAAAGCATCTATGGGTGAAGGGGAACGAAAATTGTGAATTTCATGATCCCTGCCCCCCTGGGGCCTGAGGGGTGGGGCCAAAACCACTAAAATTAATGCAATCTTTAAAAATCTTCTTCTTTACTCCTGGACATCAAGCAGTCAAATTATTTGCATGATTGTAATCAGCATTGAGTCCTCTACCAAAATTGTGAAATTCATGGCCCTGGGGTCAGGGGTTCTAGTGCTAGGGCGGGGCTAAATAAGTATATAGTGAAAATGCATTATTTCTTTGAAAATCTTCTTCTCTGCTTCTGGGTATTAAATAAACCAACTAAGTACATAGTTATGATGAGCAAGAGTGCCTCTACCAAAATTGTGAATTTTATGGCCCCAGGGTCAGGGGTTCTGGTGTTAGGGTGGGGCTCTATTGATTATATAGTAAAAATACATGATTTCTTTGAAAATCTTCTTCTCTGCCCCTGGATATTAAATAAACCAAGTAAGTAAATAATTATGATGAGCAAGAGTGCCTCTACCAAAATTGTGAATTTTATGGCCCCAGGGTCAAGGGTTCTGGTGTTGGGGGGAGGGGGGGGGCTCTAATGATTATATAGTGAAATTACATGAATTCTTTGAAAATCTTCTTCTCTGCTCCTAGGTATTAAATAAACTAACTAAGTGCATAGTTATGATGAGCAAGAGTGCCTCTACAAAAATTGTGAATTTTATGGCCCCAGCATCAATGGTTCTGGTGGGGGGGGGGGGGGGGACTTTATTGTTTATAAAGTGAAAATACATGAATTCTTTGAAAATCTTCTTCTCTGCTCCTAGGTATTAAATAAACTAACTAAGTACATAGTTATGATAAGCAAGTGTTCCTCAACCAAGATTGTGAATTTTATGGCCCCAGGGTCAAGGGTTCTGGTGTGTGTGTGTGTGTGTGGGGGGGGGGGGGTTCTATTGATTATATAGTGAAAATACAGGAATTCTTTGAAAATCTTCTCTGCTCCTAGGTATTATATAAACTAACTAAGTGCATAGTTATGATGAGCAAGTGTGCCACTACCAAAATTGTGAATTTAATGGCCCTATCATCAAGGGTTCTGGTGTTGGGGGGGGGGGGGGGCTGTATTGATTATATAGTGAAATTACATGAATTCTTTGAAAATCTTCTTCTCTGCTCCTAGGTATTAAATAAATTAACTAAGTGCATAGTGATGATGAGCAAGAGTGCCTCAACCAAAATTGTGAATTTTATGGCCCCAGGGTCAAGGGTTATGGTGTTGGGGGGGGGGGCTCTGGTGATCATATGGTGAAAATACATGAATTCTTTGAAAATCTTCTTCTCTGCTCCTAGGTATTAAATAAACTAACTAAGTGCATAGTTATGATGAGCAAGAGTGCCTCTACCAAAATTGTGAATTTTATGGCCCCGGCGTCAATGGTTCTGGTGGTGGTGGTGTGGGGGGGGGGGGGGGGGCTTTATTGATTATATAGTGAAAATACATTGTACATTAAATCTTTGAAAATTTTCTTCTCTGTCTCTGGGTATGAAGCAGATGAACTACCTATATAGTTATGATGAACAAGGGCCCTAATCTTGCAGAATTGTGAATTTCAAGGCCCCAGGGTCAGGGGGGGGGGGGTGGCGGGGTGGGGGACTCTACTTATATACTGAAAATGAATTAATTGTTTGAAATCTGGTCCTTTGTATTTATAAAACATTTATTTACTTTTTGATAGGCAATTTTAAGGGTGCCTTTTAAAAATTTGTGCAACCTAGGGTCAGGGGTTTATGTGAGAGTGTTAGGGGCACTACTGATTATTGATTAATATTACTGATTAGTTGGAGTGCATTTTTGTTCCCCTACCCTGCTTATGGGTATTCAGTAACCAAGCTAAGCAACTGCTAAGTTTATTGTTATGATGATCAATGGTGCCCTTTCAAAATTGTGAATGCCATATAGCATCTGGCTTAAAACATGAATCAAATTCAATACACTGTAACTGGAAAGTTGTTGCATAATGCTCAGGTGACCTATAAGGCCCGTGGGCCTCTTGTTTTTATTTCAAATACAATTATAGGATTATGAAACATGAATTAATGTACATGTGCACATTTAAGGCGGGTTTTTTCCCCGGGCACGAGCACAATTATATTGAATTTTGGGGCATCTTATAATATTAGTTTAAATATCTGTATTGTTAAATTACGAATATTTAAATACAGCTAATATTTCAAAAGGAAAATTGATTTGATTTGCTAATAGTAAGAAAATTAAAGACTTCAAAGACGCCGACATTGTTCGAGATCCACTGTGCCCCGTACGTGTTTTGCGGGAAAAACTCGAGGCCTGTACTGTACCTTTGACCACAAACACAACCAGCTGATCTAATTTATAGCAAATAAGGAATCGTCTCACACTCTGTCTAGTTGTTTTGCAGTTGTAGTTTGCTTCGAGTAGTTTCCTTATTTTTGAAGTTGAAGATCCAGACGCTTGATACTTGATAATGGTGTTTCGAACAGGCAGACACAACCTCCGTCCTCCTTTCACAGGCGCCGTAGCGAGAAATAAACCAAAATGACTTATTTGGTCATTATACGATTCAAAAATCATTGGGGGCGTGGTTTGCATAATTAACCAAAGAACGGTACGGTTCGTTTCTTGCACGGAACGGTACGCTTTGTGGACGGTACGGTACGCTTTGTTCACGGTACGGTTCGCTTTGTGGACGGTACGGTACGCTTTGTGCACGGAACGGTACGCTTTGTGCACGGAACGGTACGCTTTGTGCACGGAACGGTTCGCTTTGAGAACAGTACGGTACGGTACGCTTTGTGCACGGAACGGTTCGCTTTGTGCACGGAACGGTACGGTTCGTTTCTGAGGTGTAGTAGCACGATTTAGGGTCTGTAATATTGATGTTTCATTTGGTTGCACTTTTGTTTCATTCATTAAGAAACATAATGAGCAATTATATTTCACTGCAAATTTTTGTAAGTAAATAGTGAACACCTCTATAGATCCATAAAGTATATGTGAATTGGCACCTTCTCTGAAAAAACCCAGCGGGGGGTATTTGTCCCTATTGGACAGTTCTAGTTAATTCTTTGAAAATCTTCTTCTCTGCTGCTGGGTATTAAATAAACTAACTAAGTACATAGTTATGATGAGCAAGAGTGCTTCTTCCAAAATTGTGAATTTTATGGCCCCAGGGTCAGAGGTTCTGGTGTTAGGCTGGGGCTCTATTGATCATATAGTGAAAATGCATTTATTCTTTGAAAATCTTTTCCTTTGCTCCTGGGTTTTATGCCAATGATCCAAGTATATATATTTATGATGAAGAAAGGTGCATCTAGCAAAACGGTAATTTTTTATGCCCCTCTGGGTGGGGGGGGGGATACATAGTCTGAAAATAAATTATTGCATTGAAATCTGCTCTTTGGTATTAATCAACCATTTTATGATAAAATTTGCAAAATTTTGAAATATGTGGCCCCAGGTTTAGTGGTTCCTTTGGGGTGAGGTGCACAACTGGTTATAAAGTGTATTAATCAACCATTTTATGATAAAATTTACAAAATTTTGAAATATGTGGCCCCAGGTTTAGTGGTTCCTTTGGGGTGAGGTGCACAACTGGTTATAAAGTGTATTAATCAACCATTTTATGATAAAATTTGCAAAATTTTGAAATATGTGGCCCCAGGGTTAGTGGTTCCTTAAGGGTGAGGTGCACAACTGGTTATAAAGTGGAAGTGCATTTTCTCTTTGTTTCTCTGATCTACCTCTGGTTATTAAGTAAATAGAGTAGGCATGCTAAGTTTATGATTATGATAAGCAATGGTGCCTCTTTCAAAATTGTGAATTATGAATTTCATGGCCTATGGTTTAAAACACGAATCAAATTTAAATGTTTGAAAGTTGTTACACAATACTCAGGTGACCTATAAGGCCCGTGGGCCTCTTGTTCTGTTATCAACTTATCAGATTCAGAATACCTGAATTTGTGGCATTTGATCTAATCATCGAATGAATTCAGTATCATTTAATTTTGTTTTTGATTTGAGATTGTATACATTAAAATGAATATTTAAATTAAATTACATTCTTTTCATTTGATACTTTGTTGTACACTGCCTTGATGTATTTACAAATATTTACAGGGTATATGCTGGAAGTTACGCACCCAACTCTCTGTCACTTGTCATCAAAAATGTCCTAGAGCAGGATGCTGGGGAATATACATGCAATGGAACAATTAATGGAACACCAAAAACTGCAAAAATCTCAATGTCTGTCAACATGCCCCTTGAAATAACAGAAGAAATGGCACCAACATCACAGAAAGTTGAAGAAGGTACCCAAGGCTTGATTAAGTGTGTGGCCCCTGGGGGATACACAATAAGTTGGATTAGGGATGGCAAGACAGTTGGTCAAGGTAAATATCTGATTTTTAAACAGCAGGATTTAGTTAATTTTTTAGGGTGAAAATTAGGAATCAAAAACCAGCTGATGGATTGGTCATGTTGATGATGTGAGTATGAACCTATGTCTCCAATTTTGAGTTTAATGGGATATACTATCATCAGTATAACAGTATCTCTGGTAAATTTGATGCCTTACTCTAATTTGAGAAATCTGTGCTTTTAATATACAATTACCTCTTTAATTGATGTAAAACTTCTTCAGAATCAAATGGGACAGATGGTAAGTTTGATCGTCAGATCATGCTTTGCATGGAGTCAACCCAGCTTAAAAAGTGAATTTTGTTTCTTATCTGAAAAATGAACAGACACAAAGAGCATAGGTTTGAGGTAGACATGAAAAAGAGATATCTTCCTAAGAATAAATTAGCCCTTTAGAATCAGAGGGTCAACTGTTTTTTTTCCTTCTTTAATAAATTATGAAAAGGATAGGAATAATTTTCTCAGATGAAACACTAGAAAAGATAAAACTGACATAAACACTTGCAAATAGTGCACATTCTGTATTTGTACAGATCAGGACCCATTAAGTCTCTAATCATTACTTACTAAACTTACATGTACATTTCTTGCCTGTGTTGCTGTAGAGCAAGTTGATCTTTTGAAAAGAATTGAGATTTAAAAAAACAACAACAACAACAACAACAAAACAGATTCTTTAAGTTAATAGTTAAGGTCCAAAGAGTTAAGGGTACGGATTATTGAATTGATTCGAGTATAAATATGCATTGTAGACATGTATATAATATAAATTTCTGGTAATTTTATTGCATTCATCATGTGAAATATGCAAAGATTTTCATTTTAATTAGATTTATGCAGGGAAGCTAGTGTAACTGTTTGAACATTAATTGTATAATGATATTTATTCAATTTTAAAGAAGGTTTTCTTCCAGGAATGTAACTTGTAGAATGTTCATTGTATTAACAAATTCAGATATTTATTTAAAGAAGGTTATATCTAGTGGAATATACTGTTAGAATGTCAAGGAATAGGAACAAATTTCCTCTTGTACTGGTGTAAGATGCATGGCTGACTTTTGATTTGATAAATGTGATTTTCTTTATATATATATATATATATATTATTATGAATTTTAAACTTGTTTGCTTGCTACATTTAATTTTGTATAAATCTATTTGTTTTAGCAGTTATATATATGCTACGTACATCATGTACATGTATTGTACCTACCGGTATTATGATATCAACCTATATGGTCATTCTGACAGGTCACCAAGTATAATAATATATATATTTTCTTTGAATTTGATTTGTCAACATTCTTTTCATTTTAAAGCCTCGCGATGAACAGTGTCATGTACTCATGGGTGTGATCTTGTCTTTTACTCATTACCTGTGGGCAAACTCACAGAAAAATCATTCCTGGGTCATTTCATTGGCTGCTTAACAGAGTCACGATGGCAAATCAACGAATCAGAGTTCACATTATACATATGCATATTCAGCAATGCCAAAAACTAGCTATTCCCTAGCTAACATACAGATTGCTTATAGATCCACTCTCCCATGCATTTTGAGTTTGAGAATTAAAAGGTACATATGTATTCCCATGTAATTTCTGACTGGTTTATAATGTCAGTGACCAGTACAAATTTACTCTCATCGTTTTAAAATAAACTTTGCAAGTTTTAAGGAGCTAAAGATTTGTACCATACTACCTGATTGGTTGTCTAGAAGGCCTTGATGATATATAAATTTCTCGTCCTTGTCTGCCCACATTTTTTACCCCGGCTCCCTCTTTATTATTTCAGTTTTCTCTTAATTCTGATCGGGATTGGTACATACATTTAGTTACCATTCAACTTTCATTATTAATATTTATGCCCCCCTTCGAAGAAGGGAGGGCATATTTCTTTGCTGCTGTCGGTTCATTTAGTTTCTGTTCATTTTCTTCACAACCGTTGCACATACTGAAATGAAATTTGGTATACAGGTATATCAGATGAATATCTAGGTTAACTTCTGTTTTGGGTACGATCGCACCATTTTTGACAGAGTTATGCCCCTTGGACTTAGAAAAATTCCAACTATATGCCGTTTCCGTTCATTTTCTTTGGAGATGTTGCACACATTGAAATGGAATTTAGTATACAGATTATGCAGATGAATAGCTAGGCCAAGTGTTGTTTTGGGTACAATTGCACCATAATTGACAGAGTCATGCTCCTTGGACTTAGAAAAATTCCAACTATCAGAGCTCCAGATAAGGTGCGATTAATTACCAAATCTATAACCGTTTTATTTAAACCTCTGTAACAGATGAACAGGCGTGGATCCAGAATTTTTTTCCAGTCAAAAAAATATACAACTCAGAAATCTCTCTCATGCAAAAAAAGCAAACAAACAAAACAAATCAAAATACGCATTGAAAATTAAAATAGAGCGTACAATTACGCATTAGCAATCATAGATACGCATGACACCACGAAAATATTGCGTACAACACATTGAAGAATACAGGTACGACTTACTTGATGATACGAATAGAGGTTAACTCAGTGTTTAATTTTTATCAAAAGGAAGTGCAGATTCAAAAACCTTTCAGTGACCAGGAATATTCTAGTAATAACGATTTTTTAACAATAAAGACGATCTCCATTAATAATCAAGTAATGCAAGTAGGAGTATAAATAAGATTAAAATCAATTTCTCTGATTATGAAAGACTATGCACTAGGCATAGCTTTTTTTTTGTGAAAACAAAATATTTAGGTGGGTTTATTGCTTATTTTTTCATCTCTCTCAACTTACCACATTTACGAAGATTCTTTTCTCTCATTTACTCTTGATACGATATCTTAAATGAAGGAAATTTTTCTGTGTCTCTGACTGTGAAAAAAAATCTTTGGTAGCTTGACCTACTGTATAATCCTCCTTGTAACTTATATGTCAAAAAAGAATGCTCTCTACAAATCTTAGCATAAAGTGTGTAATTTTTATACTTGCTGGTATTTACAAAATTTATTTAAATAAAACACGTGTGAGGATATTAAGCATGACCTTTATAAGTTTTTTCCACACTTAATTTTGGGAAAATCTTCAAAAACACATACTTCCGTCGCATTACAAGCTCAAAAGAAAGGTCAAAACATTGATATACACATGTATAAACAAAATACTCTTCAATCATTTTGAATGCTGAAAATGAAAATGTGCATTGATAAAAAAATTTCATTATTAATATTTATGCAGAAGGAGTAAATACACTTTTCTTCACAACCGTTGGTAAAAAATATATCAGATGAATATCTAGAGCTGTTTTGGGTACTGAACAGAGTTATTCGCAGTTTCCGTTCATTTTCTTTGGAGAGGTTGCACATATTGAAATGAAATTTAGTATACAGATTAGTCAGATGATTATCTAGGTCAAGTTCTGTTTTGGGTACGATTGCACCATAATTGACAGAGTTATGCCCCTTGGACTTAGAAAAATTTCAATTATTTGCAGTTTCTGTTCATTTTCTTTGGAGAGGTTGCATAATGCATATATTGAAATGGAATTTAGTATACAGATTAGTCAGATAAATATCTAGGTCAAGTTATGTTTTGGGTATGATCGCACCACTTTTGACAGAGTTATGCCCTTTTGGACTTAGAAAAATTCCCATTTGGGGGGAGGGGGGCATAAGTGTTTTACAAACATCTCTTGTTATATTAGAGCCTAATCAACAAATTAGCAAGCATTTCAGTGAGTTTTCCCTCTGGTATTAAGTAAAGACAAGATTACCCACAGATATCAGACAATGCTCAGCAAAGATCTACAGCTGTTCCCCCAATTAAGAATACTTGTTTTAGTACAATTATCTATGAGTTAAAACTAAAATGTGAAAAAAGGAAAATGACTAAATTTTCATACAGTACCAGTATTTTGTTTGTGTGTATGCGAGTCAAAACATAACAAAAACAGGCTTGATGTTTGATGGCTAAAATGTTCAATATATGTTAGTAACTAACTTTTTTCAAGAAGAAAAAATTGACAAAAATTGGCAGAAGTGGAATAATGACGTTATGTTTATGATTGTAGTACATCCAAGATATTCTCAGGTTCCAGAGGGACTTGAAATCAGCAAAGTAAATCGCAGTTTGGATGAAGGAACATTTACTTGCAATGTTGTTGGAACTGGAGCTGCTTCATCCAAAATCAAATTCATTAACATAGCAGTAACTGTGATAGGTAGGTTATATTAGAAGGTAAAAAAAATGTGACATTTCTTTTAAGTTTAACAAAGAATATTTTTACCTTTTGACCCAGAAAACATCTTTAAAAACATTTTCTTGAGAACAACATGTCTTTTATTATATAAAGAAATAAATAATTAACAAGATTATAATGTTCTCTAGGAAAAGAGCTTGTTTGGTCATGTGATCAAATTATGTGAAGCCACTTGCCTGTGTGGTTGTGCCTCTTTAAAATTCAGTATTCATTTGTTGCCAAAAATTCACTAACCCATAGTATCAGGCAATTAAATGTTAGCCCGGGTTTTTATGAGAAAGATGGCTCACTTTAGCATGTGTCTGTCTGACTGAATATTTTATTAAATTCCAAAAAGATCAGTTACTTGTGTGTTTATAACTCTATTCATCCTTGATCACTTGTTTTAACAGTTAGTCCAAAAATCACGAGTCCCCCCAGTACAGGTCAGGCAGTGGAAGGATCGCGGTACCGGTTTGAATGCAGAGCATCTGGAGAACCTTCTCCAGAATACCATTGGTTTAAGGTAGGTCATCAAGCAGTGATTTACTGACACACAAAATCTATTGTAAACAGGAAAAATCGTAGGTAAAAAACTAAGATGTCTGTCTTTTATAAAATATAATTCATGTAAATTTGATATGTATGGTATTAAGTATAAAGTGGAGCCTCACTTATCCGGACGCTTTGGTTCCTAATCAATTTGTCCGGATACGTGAAGCGTCCGGATATCTGAATTACCAGTCAAACAAGACAAAACAACATTTAAAAAAATCTGTTCCGATGAAAAGTCGTCCTGATACTGAAGCATCCAGATATCTGGCATGCGGATATCTGAAGGTCCATTGTAGTTATGGGCATACATTCATAACGATACAAAATGTTGGTTTATTTACATAAGATATGACCAATTGTATGATTGGAAATTTAATTGCATGTAAGAATGACGGTAGTTTTACCCATTTTAAAGGATAATACTTCAGCTTATGGTTGGGTTTACTGTAGATTAGATAATTGAGTTAGAAAAAAAAACATTAGCTTTAGTCACTGAGCAGGATAATAAAATCAATACTTGACATTTACAGCACATATATTTGTTCAACTCCGGAAACATACAGTAAAATAAAGCTTTTTATACTTTATGTACTTTTTCTTGTGTGATTTTTCACGTAAAATTTAAACATAAATTGGTGTACTTTTAGGATGAAAGCAGTAATGAACTAGTAGGGGATAGGTTTGAGATTGACAAACAGAAAGGAATATTGATCATCAAGCAATCCAAAAAGGATGATGAAGGTCGCTACAAATGCGAGGCTAGGAATGAAGCTGGGGTGGCCAGTGAAACGGCAGAGTTAAAGGTCATCAGTAAGTCACCATTATAAATGTCACAAGGGCAGAACAATTTAGTTTGTTGTGGAATATTTTATGGTTGTTGAATCTATTCCCATTTAAGAAGGAAGAAAAAATAATAAAATGTTAAAAATATATATAAGACTAATATAAGACATCAATGATATATTGATGGGTTTTACAAAATTGACTTTGAATTTCAGTTCCCCCTAAAATTCGTGAGTTTAACAATGGAACAGGGGAAGAGGGTAAAGATGGCACCTTAAGCTGCAAGGCCTATGGAGATCCTATTCCTACCATCCGCTGGCTTAAAGGAAATGTTGTGCTTCCTGATGGAGCACCTGTAAGTTATAAAGGAACACATCATTGAAAAAGTTACAAAAAAAAAATATTTTCTCAGCCAAAAATGCAAATAGAAATTCCTGGCTGGTGACTTTTATTGACAAAATTCAGATGTTTGTCATCTTTATGTGAAAATTTCATCATTTACTTCCAGAACCTAAAAATGTAAGATTTTTGTGATAATGGAAAAAATTTTGTCAGAATGTAAAAAAGATGAGAATTTTATATTTTTGCTTTTAATTCGTAGAAACAAGATAAAAATGAGAAAACGGTGGTTTCAAAGTTGACCTTATCCCCTCTTACAAAGGATGACGGTGGACAGTACACATGTGAGGCAGCCACTCAGGGGGCAGAAAGTGACAAAAAACAGGCCTTTCTCATTGTCAAATGTAAGGTTACAAAGCCCTCAGTACCTGACATATTATTATTTTATTAATTTTAGATTTCACTCAAGGTGCAAAATTTTAAAAAAAAATCATCAGGAAATAAAATGGATATACTCTGTATATACAGTAAAACTCGGTTATAGCGAAGTCCTGGGGACCTGTGAATTTAATTCGCTATATCCGTAATAGGTTATATCCATATAAGAATTCGTATAACCATACATAGCGAATTCGCAATATGCATGTTTTTCTTCAAGTGTTACTACAAAATATGTTAGGGAAGTAAATATTACAAAACACACTTTCTATAACTAAGGTTTTATTATGAATTGAGTTTTATATACAGATGCTAAAAGAAAATAAAGGCAGTTCAATTTTATCAAATTTTGAGATCTTTGAAAGTTCGTTATAAAAGATGTAAATTTCATTATATCTAATCTCAATGGGACTCAAAATCAGATCGCTTTATCCGTAAATTCGTTATATCAGAGATCGATATGACCGTAAAATTTTACAAAGATTTGTTAAGAATTTGCTGGGGATCCAGAAAAACTTCGCTCTATCCGTGAATTCACTATTTCCGTGTTCATATTAAACTAGTTTTACTGTAATTGGAAGACAATGGTTCTGTGGGAAAAAATCAATAAGAAAATAGTAGGTTGTGTTTCATTCTTGAACACATGGTAGTTTGTTGTTGTTCTTTTTTCCCAACTAGTATGTGGTATTTTTCTGAAATCACACGAACACTGACATTTAACAACAATATTATTGATGAATTCTGTTACTTACAGAAAATTCTTTTCTTAATTTAGATAAACCTGCATTTAATCCTGACATTCCAACAACAGCGTGGACTTGGCAAAATGCCCCTGGAAACCTGACCTGTGAAGTGGAGGGAGAACCTAGACCTAGAGTGGAATGGTTCTCAATTCCCAACGAAAACGGAGAAAGGACCCCAATCTCTGAAGGAGGACGCTTCTCCATCATAAACAAAAACAAAGGAACAAATACAATTACCAGTACTCTAAGGGTAAGTGATGAAAGTCATATTAAAATTTGCAGAACACTTGTGACAAAGTCTTAGTTTCATAGTTTTTAGCTCACCTGAGCCGAAGGCTCAAGTGAGCTTTTCTGATCACATTTTGTCCGTCGTCCGTCTGTCTAGCTGTCCGTCCGTAAACTTTTCACATTTTCGACTTCTTCTTAAGAACCACTGGGCCAAATGTGACCAAACTTGGTATAAAGCATCCTTGGGCGAAGGAAAATTTAAATTTTTAAAATGAAGGGCCAAGTCTTTTCACAAGGGGAGATAATCAAGAAAAGACAAAAATAGGGTGGGATAATTAAAAAATCTTCTTTTCAAGAACCACTGGGCCAGAAAAGCTGAAACTTATGTGGAAGCATCCAGGGGTAGTGTAGATCCTAAATTGTTCAAATCATGACCCCCGGGGTTTGGGCGGGGCCACAACGGGGAATCAAATTTTTTACATAGAAATATATAGGAAAAATCTAATCTTCTTCTCAAGAACCACTGGGCCAGAGAAGCTGAAACTTATGTGGAAGCATCCTGGGGTAGTGTAGAATTTAAATTGTTCAAATAATGACCCCCGGGGGTTGGGCAGGGCCACAATTCGGAATCCAATTTTTACATAGAAATATATAGGAAAAATCTTTGAAAATCTTCTTCTCAAGAACCACTTGGCCAGAAAAGCTGAAACTTATGTGGAAGCATCCTGGGGAAGTGTAGTTTCTAAATTGTTCAAATCATGACCCCCGGGGTAGGGCGGGGCCACAGTGGGGAATCAAAATTTTACATAGAAATATATAGGAAAAATCTATGAAAATCTTCTTCTCAAGAACCACTTGACCAGAAAAGCTGCAACTTATGTGGAAGCATCCTGGGGTAGTGTAGATTTCAAATTGTCTAAATTATGATCAGTGCGGTAGGGTGGGGTCACAATATGTATTACAAGGGGAAAATCTAGAAAAGAACAGAATGGTCAAAGCTTCTCAGGTCAGCGATGTGACCCATGGGCCTCTTGTTTTTTATGTAAAAAAAGAAAGTTTGAATTAAGTTTTTTATGAGTCCATTACTAAGGACTTTGTAATGTTAATGCACACTGATAGAAGCTTGCAATGACTGTGTATTAGAATACTGTATAAGTAGAATTTTTAGCGAGGATTTAATTTTGGCATTATTAGCGAGGGTGCCGAGATCGCTAAAATTGAATATCGCTAAAAATTAATTGCGCTTTATTTGTAATAACTTCTTTAATGTGCATTTTAAAATAGCTAAAATAACATCTCGCTAAATTTAAATTACTAGTTTTTAAGGACAAATTGCTAAATTTGCGTCTCGCTAAAATTTCCACTTATACGGTATAACGGTAAAAACTTCCTGATAGGAATGTTGGATTTCAGGTGAGCAACCAGGTTCATGTATAAGGAGTAGGACTTGCATCATTAAGCTTTTTTTTTAAACAGAGAAATAAACAAGTTGCTGTCCTTTAAAAAAAGGACTGGATTGCATTATATCAAATTATTTTGTGTGCCTTGATGCACAAAACAAATGCCAGTGAAGACTTGTTCTATCTTTTAAAAGCTAGAATTATTCGTTGATTGAAGTTTTAATTCAAGTTGTTCAGTTATCAGTATTCTGCAAGTTCTTCCTACTTTTTAAAATGTGTGTGCCAAAGAATCAATGTTAAGTTTTTATGAGAAACTCAGATGCACCAATGAATGAATAAATACGATATGCAAATTTAAAAGCGAGATTTGCCAATGAATGGATTTTTGATGAGGGCTATTCCTTCAAGTTTATAAGCCAAACTCATAAAGGGGATGCATGTTCATTTTGCTGAAACCAAAAATATATCCTTTTTGTTTGAGCCATACATTTGTAGCAAAGCAAACAGTGATTGGGAAGGGCTTGCATAGTCGCATGGAAGTGAAAAATGGCGCATTCAATCAATCAATCATGTCGCCAAGGTGCACTTTCAATTTTTCGTGATGTAATTTGGAAATATTTTGCATACAACTTTCTTGTTTTACTTTCATTTTAAATGCAGTCAATATAAAACAACAAATCTCATTGGTTGAACTCTGTCAAAAGGTACCTCCAGTTAAATGAAGCACTTACATAAGGTATGATACTTCATTCTGACATTTGTATGGTAGGGTTGTTCCCTTTCCAAAACTATAGTAATTTCAACACATAATACAGCTCAATTATGTTCTATGTGAGTTCCTTTGAATTTGCTGCATTAAATAGGTTAAAAACTAAAAAAAAGTAGATTCGGTTAGGCCTAATTAAAAACATGTTTGCTCTCATACTTCATATTTGTTTGTCACTGTTATTTCTTAAGATGGCCCTTCAGATTATATTGATGGCCCATTCATTTTCAAAATGGCCCATCAAAAATGTTGACAGTTACGCCATAGTCCCATTGACCAATTTGGCCTTCCCAATCACTGAGCAAAATAGACAGCATTGATAGGTATACAAGTAGATGACATTCTACATCGCTAAAATTGAATATCGCTAAAAATTAATTGCGCTTTATTTGTAATAACTTCTTAAATGTGCATTTTAAAATAGCTAAAATAACATCTCGCTAAATTAAAATTACCAGTTTTTAAGGACAAATTGCTAAATTTGCGTCTCGCTAAAATTTCCACTTATACGGTATAACGGTAAAAACTTCCTGATAGGAATGTTGGATTTCAGGTGAGCAACCAGGTTCATGTATAAGGAGTAGGACTTGCATCATTAAGCTTTTTTTTAAAACAGAGAAATAAACAAGTTGCGGTCCTTTAAAAAAAGGACTGGATTGCATTATATCAAATTATTTTGTGTGCCTTGATGCACAAAACAAATGCCAGTGAAGACTTGTTCTATCTTTTAAAAGCTAGAATTATTCATTGAATGAAGTTTTAATTCAAGTTGTTCAGTTTAGTTATCAGTATTCTGCAAGTTCTTCTTACTTTTTAAAATGTGTGTGACAAAGAATCAATGTTAAGTTTGTATGAGAAACTCAGATGCACCAGTGAATGAATTAATACAATATGCAAATTTAAAAGCGAGATTTGCCAATGAATGGTATATTCTAATTTGAACAGGGTGAATTATTCTAAAGGCAAGTTGTCATAGGATTGCAAATATGGATTTTTGAGGAGGGCTATTCCTTCAAGTTTATAAGCCAAACTCATAAAGGGGATGTATGTTAATTTTGCTGAAACCAAAAAAATATCCTTTTTGTATGAGCCATACATTTGTAGCAAAGCAAACAGTGATTGGGAAGGGCTTGCATAGTTGCATGGAAGTGAAAAATGGCGCATTCAATCAATCAATCATGTCGCCAAGGTGCGCTTTCAATTTTTCGTGATGTAATTTGGAAATATTTTGCATACAACTTTCTTGTTTTACTTTCATTTTAAATGCAGTCAATATAAAACAACAAATCTCATTGGTTGAACTCTGTCAAAAACTACTTCCAGCTAAACGAAGCACTGACATTAAGTACATTACTTCATTCATTTGTATGGTAGGGTTGTTTCCTTTCCAAAACTATAGTAATTTCAACACATAATACAGCTCAATTATATTCTATGCGAGTTCCTTTGAATTTGTTGCATTAAATAAGTTAAAAACTAAAAAGTAGATTCGGTTAGGCCTAATTAACAACATGTTTTCTCTCATACTTCATATTTGTTTGTCACTTTGTTATTTCTTTTGGATGGCCCTTAAGATTATATTGATGGCCCATTCATTTTCAAAATATCCTTCAAAAATGTTGACAGTTTAGTCCCATTGACCATTTTGGCCATCCCAATCACTGAGCAAAATAGACAGCATTGATAGGTATACAAGTAGATGACAAAAATATTCTCTTTAGAGAAGTTGACAGGGCCTACATCCACTTCTTTTTGAAAACCTTCAATGTCTGGAAAAATTCATTGATACTGGAATAGCAGACAAGCATTATGTTGAGACCTGGTAAACTTTTGATGATTTATCCTGTGTATAATGATGCATTGTCTTTGTTTTAGGTTGTCTATGATTTCACTGTACCATTTGGAGAATATCTTTGTAAAGCCATTAATGATTTAGGAGCCACAAACAGAACAATTAGACTAAGAAAAGCAGGTAAGGGCTGTTCTAGGAAAGTGTGGGAAGACCTGCTTGCTAGTATTTCATATCTATCTTTTGTTTTCAGTTGTAGAAAATGTTGTTTCTGATAGGATTTAAAGTGTCAGGTGTCATTTGCATGCATACAGCTATTTTAGCTATGTTTTGGGCAAGTGAGAGAGTAGGCTCTGAAGAGTTATGTATTTTTCTTAGAATTATAGGAAAATTCTTACAAACCTACCTTTGTGTATATCATGTTTCATCTTTTATCCAACTGTCTCTGTTTTATATTAATATTAATTGTTTATATGAAAATTGAAAACTGTCCGGTATCTTGTGTCATAGATTAATTCTTTCTTCCACATGGAATGGTGCTCATGGATACATTCCAAGTAATTCGCAAAACAGAGATATGAAGTGGACATTGAACACTTAAATTACACGAGTTGTTAAAGAATTTATAACGTATATAAATATGTACCGAGATGAGCACCTTACATAAGAGATGTTTGAGCCTGTTGATCTTTGTTTCAGATCCCCCAGCCTCCCCCTCTGTGTTAGTAGACGAAGTTACACCAAACACAGCTGACTTCACTGTACAGTTCAGTTCCATGGCTAATGCACCACCACCAAAGCAGCTGAAGGTGACCATTACTAGCTCACCACCACAGGCTGTAGAACCCAGATATTATGATGTTGGTTAGTATTTGATGACTTACTACATAGTAGATTGTGTTTTTATTGTTTTTTTTAAAAATGTATTCTGAATATAGTGATGCAGGGTTTGACACTTAACCAGTCAAGTAAATAAGTTATAAATATAATCATGAAAAATATGAACGAGATTCAACAGTTTTTGTGAAATAGATGTTGACTACTAATTCAGAGTACTAACTGATATAATTAATTTCCAATGTATGTGAATTTCAGGAGTGGTTAATGGTAATCCAAAAGAAGTTAAGGTGGCTCTAACAGGCCTGACACCCAGCACTTCCTATACGTTCGAGTTCTCAGGAGTGAGTGATGCTGGTGAAGGACCATCGACCCAAAAAACATCAAATACACCTTCAGCTAGTAAGTTAAATAACTGTTTTAACTGTAGTCAATTCAAAAATGTAGTTAGCTTAAACCAAGGTCAACATGTAAATTGACCTCTACCTTCTAAATTGATCTTGACACTAGTAAATAACAAGATGTGTGTGTGAATCACTGATGCCCCGCATGGCAGCTCTTGGTGAAATTAAAAGTTTCTTAAATGGCTTTTGAGAAAATGGTAAATGGCCATCATATGGCGTCTTTTAGCACTAACACCTCTTTAAACCTGTCATGCTCTCTGAAGTTTTTACTGGGTATCAATGGTTTTGACAAAGTTTTACTCTGTAAAAAATTTGATTTTTTGCCTACCTTTATTTTGTGTAAATGTTTCACTTTGTCAGAACCTTTGGCAAATAAATAGTCTCATTTCTTAAGGGCAATTCAAAACAATCAATCATATATTAATCAAGTTAATTCTTTGTAATTTAAGCTTATTGTTACTGAATTGTCATCATTGACCTTTATTTCAGGAAAGCCATATAAAGTTGTTATTCAGAATCCTCTAAGAGATGGTGAATATCCAAATAAGTACAATCTGCAGTGGGAGACACCCAAGGATGGAGGGTCTCCTATCCAGTCTGTTAGAATCTGCTACAGGAGGGTAAGGGTTTTGAAATATTTATCAATGTGGAAGTCTTTAACTTATGTGAATTATACTTTAAAAAATGAAACTCTGCATGTCTTAAATCATTCTCATTGAATTCTGTCAATTAGGCTATAATAAAAAAATTCCTAGATTCTCATCTCCGCCCGCCCCGATTTTATACCCCCGCCTCGATTTTTTTTATTTCTGTTTTTCTTCGTCTTAATATTGATCGCGATCGGTATTCATCTACCATTTACTTTCGTTTTAAATCCGCGAAAGTCGACATGATTTTGACAGCTGAAAAGATGGTAATTGCTGTAATACATGCGTATATATATATTTTAAACAAGGGACATTGGTTGAAAAAGATTGGTGATGATGTGAAGTAAGAGAAAATTGAACCTTTACTATGACTTTTATTCGAATATTATAGATAAAATTACACCGATTGACCAGTTCAATAAAAAATCTGCAAAATTGAAAAAATATAAAGTAAAAGCCACCCGCCCGCCTCGATTTTTAAAAAGATTCGGATGAGAATCTAGCAATTTATTTATTATGGCTTTACCTTTCCCTGAAATCTAGAACAGAACTTTTTAAGTACTACAGATGTAGTAGGCTAATTGGAAGGATGAAAATTATCTTATAAGCAAAGCAATGACCAGAATATCTTTATATTAAAATTCTGATTTCAAGGAATAGATGAGCTGTATATTGAGCAAGAGTTTCAATGTTTTTGTTCAGTGTGAAAGATGATCAGACAAGTACAACTTGATCAGAGTTGAGGTCTGAATATTCACCATTCCTTTATCACATAGGTGAAGGTTCGTCCAGAGCTGTCGCCTGCAAACGAATACCAGTTTGTGGAGCAGATCACAGGATTTATTTGTAATGATGCTCAGCCTCAGCAGTCCTCGTATATGCTGACCAATCTGGAACCTTCCACACACTATCAGGTTAATATTCAGGCACGCAACCAGAAAGGCGATTCAGAGGACAGCTTCTTCATCTTTAAAACTAAGAGTCGTAAGTTTATACTTATTTTACATACTTTGAAACCTGTCAGCGTTCTGAAGTTTAGTCAGTTTAGGGAAAAAGATGACTAAGAATGATGAATAAAGGCATCTTATTAGCTTTTTAGCTAACCTGGGCTTGTGAAGCTCGGGTAAGCTTTTCCGACCCATGTTTCTGTAATTTCTGTAACCAGTTTAATTCTCATATACTTTAAAAATATTTGACTTCCTCACCAGGACCACTGAATTATTTTCAATCAAACTTGACCCTGGAATTTATCTTTCAATCAATGAAAGACCACACAGGCATTTAAAGAGAGATGAAATAATATTCATTTAATTATAATGATTGTACATTTGAACTCATATCCTATGGTTTTACTTTAGAAATAACTTTACAAAAGGCTCCTTTTATTAAGACATTAAAAGCTCCTCATTGCAAGAGGTTTTGTTTTCATTGTTTAAGAAAGAAATGAGTTTATATGTGGACTTAAAAAATATTGTTTTGAACTAGTTCTTGACAAGTTGAATTATATTATAGCACAACTGGTGACCCAATCCCAGATTGGTAAGATGTGATTTGCTGAAGTTCTTTCAGATTTTGAAACCTGAGTCTCATTTTTCCCTTGATACTGAGATATTGTAATTAAAATTTTGTATTCTCGATATTTTGGTTAACTTTTCAGTACTGCTTCATTTTGGTGGTTTTATTGAACATTTCAGAATAAAGGTTGATAGAGGAAATTACATATTAGATACTGTATCCGAAGCATTTCTATTAATCAAGAATAATAAATATCGTATTATAAAGACAGTTCACCATTTTTTGAGAGTTGTAAAGTCTGATACATTTTTTGTGTTTCAAGCAGGGAGGGGGGGAGGGGTCATACACATACAATGAATAATTTAGAGCAGAAAATAAAAGATATAATGATTTCTCTCAATCATTGTCAATGGAGATTTGAGACTCTACAAATTTCAGATAAATAGATGCAATCCAGAAGTTATCATGCTCAATTGAGTCATTTTCAAAGTTCTTGTTACAGATTTTCTTTTAATTGTTCAGCATGAACATTAATACCCTTGTCCATTATAGATTGTATGATGAAATTGTGTTTCGACACATGATGAAATTTGGCAAATAATTAAATTACTTTGGTGTGTTTATCCACAAGTCTTTTTTAAAGACATAAAAAAGACATATGTAATAAAAGTAGAGGGTGCAGAGAGATAAAAGGAAGACAATTGAAAAGTAACCAATTTAATCCTCAGGTTGTAAAAACTTCCAAGACGATCAGTCATTTCCTGAATTTATTAATTATAAGTTTTCTTAGTAGCAGGTTGTCCTTTAGACTACAAGACCTTGACCTTTGACATTGCATGATAGATACTTCTTTAGCATGGAATTTTTCATGATTTATAGTGCATGAAAAACTACAATGAATTCCTAGTCTGATTAATCATATCAATATTTATCAAGTCTTGTGTGATATTTTGAAGTACTTACGAATAAAACAGAGTTAGGTGGCATATCTTTACATATTTCTAGCTGTCAAAGACTTGTTTTTCAAATTTCAATTACATTGTCATGACTAGTTTACAGTAGTATAAGATTTAATACCTGATCTTAAATTTGAGAAAAACAGAATTATACCTGATTACCACATCATGTACATTGATTTGTATGTGTACACTTCCATTCTGTGAATAAGAGTGAAATCTACATTATTTGTTTATTTATGGTAATACACATCCAGGAGCATGAGGAGCATTAAATTTTTAGGTCACCTGAGTAACTCAGGTGACCTATTGCTATCCGTTTTCGTCCGTCGTCGTGCGTCGTGTGTCGTGTGTTAACATTTGAACATTTTCAGCTTCTTCTCTGAAACCACTGAACCAATTTCAACCAAATTTGGTATACAGCATCTATGGGTGAAGGGGAACAAAAATTTGAATTTCATGGTCCCCACCCCCCTATATGGGGCCAAAACCACTAAAATTAGTGCAATCTTTTAAAATCTTCTTCTTTACTCCTGGACATCAAGCAGGCAAACTGTTGACATGAATGTAATGGGCATTGAGTCCTCTACCAAAATTGTGAAATTCATGGCCCCAGGGTCAGGGGTTCTAGTGCTAGGGCAGGGCTATATAGATTATATAGTGAAAATGCATTATTTCTTTGAAAATCTTCTTCTCTGCTCCTGGGTATTAAATAAACTAACTAAGTACATAGTTATGATGAGCAAGAGTGCCTCTTCCAGATTTGTGAATTTTATGGCCCCAGGGTCAGGGTTTCTGGAGTTAGGGCAGGGCTCTATGAATTATATAGTGAAAATGCATTTATTCTTTGAAAATCTTCTTCTCTGCTTCTGGGTATTAAATAAACTCACTAAGTACATAGTTATGATGAGCAAGAGTGCCTCTTCCAGATTTGTGTATTTTATGGCCCCAGGGTCAGGGGTTCTGGTGTTAGGGTGGGGCTCTATGAATTATATAGTGAAAATGCATTTATTCTTTGAAAATCTTCTTCTCTGCTTCTGGGTATTAAATAAACTAACTAAGCACATAGTTATTATGAGCAAGAGTGCCTCTTCCAGATTTGTGAATTTTATGGCCCCAGGGTTAAGGGTTCTGGTGTTAGGGGGGGGGCTCTATTGATCATTTAGTGAAAATGCATTTATTCTTTGAAAATCTTCTTCTCTGCTTTTGGGTATTAAATAAACTAACTAAGCACATAGTTATGATGAGCAAGAGTGCCTCCTATAAAATTTGTGAATTTTATGCCCCCTGGGTCAGGAGGAGGGGGGGGGGGTACATAGTCTGAAAATAAATTAATGTTTTTAAATCTGCTCTTTGGTATTAATCACCATTTTGTTTTAAAATTTGCAAAATTTTGAAATATGTGGCCCCTGGGTCAGTGGTTCCTTTAGGGTGAGGTGCACAACTGGGTATAAAGTGCAAGTGGATTTTCTCTTTGTTACTCTGATCTACCTCTGGGTATTAAGTAAATAGAGTAATCATGTTTAGTTAATAATTATGATAAGCAATGGTGCCTCTTTCAAAATTGTGAATCGTGAATTTCATGGCCCCTGGTTTAATCCAAATTCAAGTGTTTGAAAGTTGTTACAAATACTCAGGTGACCTATAAGGCCCGTGGGCCTCTTGTCTTCACTAATAATACTGCATGTAGCCGCAATCTACACTAGAATAAAACATCCATTGAAGTTTTATACCTGAAGTATGATCTGAGGTTTAACTACTAGTCTGGCAAGATTTCTCATTTCTGAATGCCTGAATCCTATTTTATAAGCATTTTTGGACTTTGATTTAGCTATAAATCTGCTGATCGAGTTGTATTCCATATTGAATTTTCTCGAAGTGCTTTCTGATTGGTTTCTTTTACATTCAAAGTTTCGGACAGTTTCTTTGAGAAGACCTGGTATCTCTTCTTCACTATTGCTCTCACTAAATTTGAAAAAATTGACCATATGTGTTCATACGAGCAAAAATGTTCTCAAGACTTATAAAGCACTCAGAGCTATAAATAGCTCACTGCTAGAAGTAACTAGTTAATTGTTTTATGGTCTTCTATCAACATAGTGCATATTTATTATTTGTTGTATCTGATCCTTTAATTTATTTGCATGCCTTTCTTATTTTATGTTGTGCATGTTGTTAATGGTTATTTTGCAATTTTCCACAAATATGATGTTGGAAATTTGGGATTTGAATGTAATTTTGAAAATCTTATTAAATTTAGAACCCAAGTCTATTTTAGATACTGGTTCACTGAAAATAGAAGAAAAAAATTCCTGCATCCATTTTGTTTAAAATCTCTTGGTGTTGTTTAATAGACAATGAATTTTTATTAGAATTACTTGGAAACATGAAGTTTTTACAATTTGAGGCATTAAATTTTATCAACACTCCTTAAAAGTCGATTTTTATAGAGCAAGTAGGTTTGGAATCAGGTTCATATGAAGTTTCTAACATCAACACAATCAAACAGCAATGTGTGCACCATGTATATTATGAATTTGTGTTCCCATGGGCATATAATGATAATTTGGTAACACAAATTCTTAATTTGCTTATATCCCTATAGATGTTTTCTAAAGCCTTTTCTGTATGTGTAGTGAGTCATTAAATTCCTTTTATTTTGCTTTTCAGCTCCTTCTTCAGGCTATGTTGGGAGTAATTCTGCCTCCCCGTGCCAAAGCCACCTACCTTCGGTTTTTCTAGGGCTGTTAACTGCATGCATATTGGCAACACTGTAAGGCATAAGGCAGCAACTTTAATAACTGAAATTGAATCATTTACACCAGCGAGAAAATGACCGGTGAAATCAATTGTCAAAAAAAAAAAAATGAATCCAGAAATTATTGCTGCATTCCTCAGTATTTGATATTATGCAACTTTCATTTACATCAGGAAGCTGATTTTGAAATAACTCGCAAATGACATTCAGTAACGTCAAATATTTTTTTTCCTTGGTATTAAAATGGGCATGATGATATAAATACTCAATTTTAATAAGCTGACACAAATGAAAACATAAAAAAAGAGCTTACATTAAAATATCATGTGTATGATGGAAGAATCTGCCAATCAAGGATCACAAGTCAAGAAATCCATATTGATATGTGTATGAAGAATTTTGTCATGTTTGTAGATCACTTGTACTTTTTATTTAATGTATAGCTATTTTGCTTTTATCATCTTTTCCACTTTGTAAGAGTAGATGATATAGAAGTGTTCTGATTGAGATGTACAATATCGTAGTCTTCAAATTATCTGCCAGTATTGTTTCTGCAATATTCTGTATTTTACGGGTCTCATATATGATACTTAATGTAGATGGAGGTCATTCATTATCATTTGATTATTACTAAGTTGTTGACTGACCTGTTGCAAATTGTATGTGACAAATTAGGATAGAACAAAAACTGTAATAATGTTCTACCACAATAAGATGGTTTATATATGTAAATATAGTTTTTAAAGTGAATCAAAAACAGCAACAATGAAGGCATCATAGTTGTGAAATGTTTGGTAAATTTTTAGTGTTCCGGCTTTTCTTTAAAGAAGTATATGTACAGTTGAAATTGTTTAAAAAAGAATATGATGCTTGAAATAGCCAATATGACAATGCATTGTGATGCCATGGAATGAAAGAATTTGATTGCTTTTTGTATTTTCTGCATGGTAAACAATATGGTTTTGCACAGTAAATTTGCACAAATTTAGATATAAAATACCATTTAACCATATATATATGTATTGTACAGTGCATTATTAGTGTGTTATTTTTGTGTATGTGGGCATGTATGTTGTATGTTGTGTGTTGTGTTTTTTTTCTGTACAGGTATTTGTAAAATCATATAAACATGGAAGATACTGTTAAGCAAAATTTAACTTCATATTATCATATACAGATGTAAAACATATTTGCATACGCATACCGTAAATCTGGAAATTTTTACTGTAGATAAATTTTTAACAAATTTGCGCGTGCATTGAATTCGCAAAAATATTTTTCTTAAAAATAAATCAACATGTGAAGAATTTTTTTCTGAGAACAACTCAGTGAATAGGTGTTGGTAAGCACTGGTCATTTTTGAAAGAAACCTGTTTACACTAGTCCACTATAACTACACGTTAATTACCCGTGCGTAAATTGCCCTCATTATATGCAATATCGTCCGATGATTTGACAAGCACTGAGGCGGTATGCCCCTTTTTAATTATTTTAATCAATTAATTTGCCAATAAAGAGAGAACTGTCATTTTATCTAACCGTGTATCAACACGGGCGATAACTCAAACTCAGTGCATTTACTAGAAAGTTCCAAATGTAAACGCGGCATGTAAATTTTTGGTTATATACTAACGGGATAGGCAACTCCTTCATCACCATGTTTATTTACCAAAAACATCACGCACAACACTACAAGTTTTTCAAACTCCGTTTATTCCCAGTAAACGGTATTTTCTGATTAATATCATTTATTCCTTTTATGTATAGGAATTGATTTATTGATAAATATGTAAGCATGATAATAATATAATTAAAATATAAAGAAAACAATCACCGAAATCGGCGATTTCTCGGAAATATGGCCGATCGGGGCATGTGCTAATTTTGCATAAAACAAAATTATTACGAAGATAAGGAGTATCATACGTTCTAAAAACAAATCTTGAATGATTTTTTGACAAGGATTTTATCTCAAATATGCGAAAGCTTTAGAGATATAACTAATTAAAGTTGACTTACGAAATCCCGCGACTTGCGAGATATCGTGAGACTTGCGGTAGTTGCCTATCCCGTTAGTATATAGGTCCCTGGAAAAACCAAACGTTGAGAAAATTAGTTATATTTTTTCTTCATTTGAATTATACTTTAGGTTAAAAGGCATACACAACCTCTAAAATGTTTGTTATAATTGACTTAGAAATTATTTTCAGTGCAAATCCTTTTGTATTTTTATCAAAATTGTTTCGGAAAGTTTTCATTACGTTGTGAGTATATTGGTGGTATTCTAACTGGGCATATTATTTGAAACATATCCTGATATGAAAATATTCAGTGATTTTTATTTTTAGCACCAGTGACAATTCGCAAAAATTTGAAGCGTAAAAATTAATCAACAGCTTTTTGAAAAATTATTTTACGGTATAAATACTAGGAAAATTGTTTCTCCAAAAATGATATGTTGAGGCAACTCTGTGTGAAAGTGAAAGTTAAATTAGGTATAGCTAAAGTTCTATGGTTGTTGCCACATGTGTATACATAATTATAAAAACTCTAACATCAAAATAGAGATATGAAGTAGTTGTTAGCACAAACCTTATCTTTGATGTGCATGCATAAGAAGATGGGGGGGACAAGGCATGCAGAATTCCTATAGCTTCAGATACAAAAAAATCGTATTCAATATGTGAATTATGTATTTAAATAAAGTACTCATTATTGTAATTTATGAAAATATGTCTTTTCTGGATAAAAAAAATCTCGCATAAAAATATAATATGGTATTCATGAGATTTGAACTCTAGCAATAAAAATTTGGAGTATCATATTGCTTTGAGACTAACATACTAACCACTACGCTACATGGCTCATGATAATTGTGGGCATTTAAGTCATGTTTGTGATATGACCCTTAACTTAAGTATTTCTCGGAAAGATGTGAATCTTTTGTCATAAAAGTGTACTTTTAAGGTTTAGTGGGTCTTTGCTCCATATTTTTGTAAACCAAAAAATATACATTTTATTGCAAACTTTTAGGATGATCTTTTATAAAAACGGAGAGAAGACCCACTCTTATGAAAAACTTTGTTGAAGTACGAGAAAATGATCTTTTTTGTCCCTTTACATGTGCGTATGCTTTTTCATAGGCAAATAATTTCAGTCTTTGTGAGATTTTTTATAAATTTTAGAGATTTTAAATACAGTATATTTTAATGTTATATGAAATATCAAAATTAGGATATGATTGAGATTTAATTTTTTTTTACTTCATGTCCATCGCACTGTAGGCACTTCGTCTGCCTTATCCCCCATCTTCTTTATATCTGAGAAAAATTGTGTTTGAGTAATATTCTGTATACATGTATATATTGAGGGAGTGATTGTTTTATAGATCACCATGAGTAAATAGTTATATAGAGACTGTACAGATAATGATGTTGTAATAGTGGTAAAATTTAAATTAAGGCAGTGAACTTTATCAATTGTTGTAGAATGCGTGTATTTAAATGACTAAATAGGGAGAAATTTGCTTGTACAATATAATTGCACAATATTGAAAGTAAAAGTAGGAAGTTAAACACAGAAAAATAGACAAAAATCTACAGAAAAATTAATACATAGTTTGACTTTTTAGAGTTTATAGACATGCATCACAATATGTTGAAAATCACTAGAACTGGGTATAGGACTCAGAGTGTTGAAGACAGATAAATGTAATCCTGTTGTTGATAAGATTTTGGAGTCATTTAAGGAGTCGGTGCAGGTGACTGATAAACATTCCAAATTAAGAAATCAGGGTGCCAATAGTAAGCAACAAGGAGATAAAACCTTTGCTAAGTTAGGTACTGCACCCAGGAATAGAAATATAAGATGAGATTATTTCAGAGATCTTAGCATTATTTTTAGGATAACTGTAAGGATTTTGTTTTATATTTGAAGCCAAAGTAGGCTCTCCCTGTACTTTTGCAGTATTTTTACCTTATTTTATGAACATATTTTGTTTGATAGAGTGAGTGGTCAAAATATTTTTTTCATTTTTTTTTAGAATATGTCAGATGATATTGGTGCTTAACTTCTTTTTATACTTATATAAAGCATGCCCAAGTGGTGGTATTTGCTCTTATTTTTTCCTTGTTTATTAAGAGGTACAATGTACTTCATTTATTCTTTTTGTGCAAATTTTTGTTGCTGGGGCAATATTCCAAAGTTTTCCCACTTAGATTTAAATCAGTGTTTTTAGCTCTACTGGTCAGAGACCAGAAGAGCTTATGTGATAGTAATGCGTCCGTCGTCTGTCTGTCTGTCTGTAAACAATTTTTCAAAATGCTACTCCTCCTACAGTTTTGGTCCGATTTCAATATAACTTGGCACACAAGTAGACTACACTAAGATACATAATTCTGTGCATCTGTTTTTGATTTTGATGGATGGTGTTGCCATGGTTACTAAAAATAGAAATTTCTGTGAAATTCTTTCAAAATGCTACTCCTCCTACACTTTTGGTCCGATTTCAATATAACTTGGCACACAAGTAGACTATACTAACATACATAATTCTGTGCATAGGTTTTTATTTTGATGAGTGGCAAGGATCATTTTTTTTTACTTATTGCTGTTTTAAAGTCTCAAGTCCCAACTGCTACTTTTCTCTTCCATTGTTTTAAGTATAAACCAGTAGAGCTACAGTCTCGACAGAGACTTCTGGTTAAGTTGTGTTATTGCGTTGTAATCATTACACTGGGGAATAACTGTGTTGGTGTATTCTAGGCACCATATCATAGTTGTGGAGTGTTCATAAACAAAGTACCCACTGAATAAATGCAAGAATACAAACACTGTATTTGAATGAATAAACCTGAGCAATAGCAATAGGCATCTTTTAAAATAAGAAAAAAAGATCATTGGATTTTTTGTTCTTAAGTTCCCTTTGTAAGCAGTAGTAAGTATGTTGTGTAGTGTAGCATAAACATTTATCAATTCTGAGTGTACTGTGTAAATGTGCTACATAATTATACATTTGTTAATATTAATGATTTTTTGCATTCATGTTTTAATAAAACAGTAAATAATTTAGAAAAACCATAAATTGTAGCATGTGTTATTTATAACCAGTTTTTCAGTGACCTTGGACTGTTTACAATGACTGACTGATTCAGCTGTATTGATTAAATATTGGCTGAACGCACTATGCAGAGTCAGCGATATTTCAGCCATATTTCCTTGACTAGAAGTGGTACTCTTGAGTTAAAATGTCCAATGTAGGACAAAATGTACTATAAATCTTAATCATTTTTATTTCCGGATGTTGAATGTTTGGGGGAAATTTACATAAAATTAACTTTTAATGCAAAATATAAAATTAAATTCAATCACGAAAATATTTTCAGCTCTAAATGTCTTCTTTGCAACTTAATACAATAAGTAACATGTTCTCCGAAAAATACATCAACAACAACAAATAAATAAAATAAGAGACCTAACATGGTTCAGTCAATCCTGAAATCATATTTCAAAGACGTTTTTGAAATCCAGGAATAAAGTTTTGGTGTGGCATCCCCCCTTAAATTGATCAGTGGACGAAGTTTGAATTTACTTACATAGATATCACAAAAACAGCCAATATTATTTTTGGAGACCTCCAGGAAATGCTGACAGTGTACGGGTACTCCAAGAAATAGCGAGTATTAAAAAAACACCATTGATATTTGAATTAAGGGGAAAAAATCCTTAATTGAATTTTATTTCTACAGTTATGACAATATTCACAAAGAAGAAAAAAATTGTTTCATTTGATGAGTTATATGGAGCATAGGGTCTTTCATCAAAATATCAGAGGGAAGAAAATGTGACATATATTGAAAAAGAAGTTCAGAATAACATCTTCTAAATGATCCCCAAAGATCTGAATTATCATCAAATTACAGTACATCGAATATATGAAGTGAAAATGTTTTCGATCAATACCGGCTGGATTTTTTTTGGACTATCTCCCAAAAATGTCTTGTATACAATTTCATCATACAAACTAACAGTCTACTCTTCATTTGACACTGTACGTAAATGTTAGAAGAAATGTTCACTTTAGATTAGAAGATCAGTTGAGTTTTTTTTAATACTAAATTTAAATTTCCTTCATGTATTTGTTTATGTTGGATTATTTCAAAGGCTTTCATGTTTCACCAGCAAATTACTATACTTATAGTGACATCAGCTCAAAAACAAACTACAGCTTCCATTCCGGAACCTGGTCCATTTTCGTCAGGAGGTAGCGATCCCAAAACATTGCAATGTTGCGTGCATGTGAAACAAAACTGCTTGCCTAATGTGTATTAAAGCATCACATGGAAGTAAATCTGTCCAGTTTGGCTTGATAAAGCAGTGTATTCCCTGATGAGGAAAGAAAAAGGGAAAAAATGCAATGAAAAGCACTTCTTTATTGTATTGCAATGAACCCAGATTTATTTTCGCTCCAGCTGTTATTTTCGCCCCATCATTCATGCAAATCATTTCGCCCTATCATTCATGCAAACCATTTCGCCCTATCATTCATGCAAACCATTTCGCCCCTTTTTACACTTTAATAGCTGCAGAACTGCATGTTACTGCGTTATGGTTTTATATATTTGCCTTTGACCATAATGCTAAAGACCCAGTAATGCAACAATTCTGCAATTTACGGCGCAAGATTTTCAGAGAATGTCTCCAGTTTCCAGCATTGTTTGATAAACTTCCTTTCACTTTAAAATTTTAGACATATTTTAAACCAACCTCTGCAGTGTATGTTTTATCCATCATCTAATCTTTTATAACTGTCTCTACAACATTAATTTTCTGCCATTTGACAACAAATTTTAAAACAACAAACTAGTTTATTGGTCTGCAGAGGCAACTATAAAGAGTTTGGAGGCAATTTTTGCATTGCAGTATCTGTAGTATTATGGTTAAAGACAAATATATAAAATCATATATAACGCTACAGTTCTTCAGCTAGATATAAACCTGTTTCTGTTTAATTTGGATTTAAGACGAGGGCGAAAATAAAATTGGAGCGAAAAATCCATGATCACATGCAGTATCTCCTCCCTTAAGCTTCAGCATGTACATAGACCCGAGGCATGGCCATTGCAAATATAAATTAATGATAAAAATGTCTCAGGGTGTTAGGGGGACAAAAATAGCATTCTTCATGAAGAACTACCAGGCTTGCAACAAAGGTTCCAAATTCATATTTAAGTCATGACTACGTAAATTTTTAAAACTAAACTTCAGTTTAATTGTCCTTGATGGATAAATAGTTTTTTTTTTATTTCAATAGTCAGAAAATAAACGTTGTTGCATCCAGTTTCTAAGATCCAAACACTGAAAACTTCAGAATTATGTCGATTTGCAGAACCTTATGAATATGAAAGCCTTTAATTTATTGTGCATGACATGTATATATAGAAAGCTATTAAAGAGACAGTTTATGTTTCAAACACTCTGATGATGATGGGACGACTTTTACTATGGTTCTGTTTTGAAATGTACGTCCCTAAAGGATTTTATAAACCCCAAACGTTATTTTTCATTCTTTGGTTAATTTGTTGATGGAATTATTGACTTCGGGGAAAAGTGTATGAATGTCACTCGAATTAGTCTTTGTTAATAGTTATTCCCCTTTTTCATGTCCTAAAACACTTCCTTTTCTTTACATTTTGAAACCGAAATTGCACTGTTGTTCTTTTGTTCAGTATACATTTAAATGTATAATATAGTATACACACATGTATATAGTCGGATTGATAATATATAGAACAATTTTCATTCAGAATATTTTAAATAATCCAAAAATACCCAGAAAGTCGTCTCACCAACGTGATAGAGTGTGAGAGGGAAGATGTGATAAGGTGTCGTATTGACAAGCTAGCGAATAGGTACTTTGTAGATTGAAATATTGACTTTGAAATACAATTAACTGAATATGATAACTAAAAGCCATCTTTCCCTGCCCGTATCTTCAAGGAGTATGTATTGTTAATTGGAGAAGAATTTAAGACCCCGTCCCCACACCGCTGCTCGACTAAGGTGTAACAAATCATCTATTCTGTGAAGAAGGACATGTATCGCTTTTTTTCGCTCTTAATTTCACAATTACATGTAAAAAAAATATATATATATAAATTAGATTAAAGACAAGACACCTTATCTTTTCCCAAATACATATAGCCCTTTTGTGTGTACATTGTATGTGTGCTTGTTGATTTTGTATGATTTCTATCTTTCAGCCTTTTTGTACTTCGTGGTAGTATAGAAGAAATTTGCATGACAACTTTGGTATACATTTTATTTGCTTTGTATATTTTTATTTTATTTTTGGTTACGAAGTAGTATTTGTTGTAAATTAAAAAGCATGATTGTTTACCCTTTATTTTTTTCTTTTCATATTAATATTCATGATAAAGTTTTCATTTTAAATTCATTTTTTATGTCTCTTAATTTTTAAATGTAATAATATTTATCATATATGCGATATGTCGGTATTTCAATTTCTTCATTGCCATGTAAACGAATGAAAAGACATTCTGTAATTTTTTTAAAAACACTTTTGTGCAGAAGAGAAAGGTGGTCTACCAATTGGTGTGATCATCGCTATAATCATCATTGTTTTCATCGTTCTCCTTATCGTCGTTGACGTCACATGCTATTATAAGAGAAAGTGTGGCGTTATTATGTGCCTGAAAGGAAAACTTGGTGGCGGATCAACTGCAGGAGCCGGGAGTGGAATAAAGGACGCAGAGAAAGGAGGAGATGAGTACGTTTATTTTCTCTTTTGAAAACACACAAAAAAACCTCTATTTATACTCTAATGAACCGACTGTGAAATAATCTTTCACTTTTTTTTCAATTTATAGTAAAGATAAAAAGTCTGACAAACCTGTCGAGAAAGAGTAAGATCATTTTGCATGGTATACTGCCCTTTGAGAACTAAATGGATTTGCTTTCATCTCAAATCAAAACGTATTTCAGATTTACCTGTTTATTTTTTCAGTTAAACACGTTTTACAGAGTATGAAACCTCCGTGTCTTATCGGTTTCTTTGATTTTTTTTCCCATTGAGAGATTTCTTTTGAATGCCTAGCATTATTTTCTACCGACTTTTTTTCACAGTAACATTTGGGCATTATTTAGCTTTTATTGTTCAGTCAGGATTTTCGCTAAATATCCTTTCTGAACAATTGCCAATTAACCATGCCATACGTCTATGGCACAATGTGTACATGCATATTAACTAAACTTCTCAAATTATTTTTTTAAATGTTTAATTTGTTTAATGCGTAAGTACTAGTGTTTTGCTTGCGTAAAGAAATAGGTTTAGAAGGCCTAAGAAATATAGAATCTATGTGAGCTCTGTAACCCAGAGCCTCTTGTTTCTGACATTGTGGTTTGTCATAGTCAAAGTGAATTTCTATGGCGTGAAGTATTGCGTAGAAATAATCTTGGTTGGTTTTCGATTAACACAATGTTTTATTAACTCTGGCCACTTTTGATCAGCATGTTATTTATTTGTTGATTTAAATTGCAATGTACATGCCTACTACATGGCTGAAAACAAGATCAAAGTAAATGATGGCCAACACACTAAACGAAATAAGATAATTTTGTATTCTTTATAAATCATGCTCAACAAAACTAGGATTTGGGGGTGTCCTGTAATAATCATACTGTCGATCTGTCTGTGTCTGTCATTCTTTCATCTACAAGTTTTCTAGTTTTATCTTGATAATTTTTTTTATACGGATACTAAAATTGATTCTCTGTATCATTTATAGTTTTGAGCTAGGGTATTGGAGTATTCCAATTTATTTGAAAATTAATGGGCAAAGAGAGATAAATCAAAAGGCTCGTCTTATTCCGATATTTCTGCATTAGCTAGATGTTTGTTTTAAAGTTCAGGCCAATCCTGGATAGTGTGGCATTCAAGGAACGACGTGCATTTTTAAAAACAAAGTCAATACTTTCAAAAACATATTTTATGTTAAGATTTATTAATTTATAAAATTAAAAGGTAGTTGGATTATAGCCTCATTCCATCATTGCTGAAAAGGTTTTTTAATGGTAAAGTTAGAATAAAAGGGCAGGCGGGTAATAAAGTTAATCACCTGGGGAAAATAAACTTGCCTGCTGCAGAATATCCAGAACCTAATCTTTGCATAATTAACCGTCGCCTCTGATTGCACGTGGTGCTTGTTTCGAAGTAAAGGTCAAGCCCCGGTGATGATAGAATTTATCAGAGACTGTCATTTTATAGAATACATGGTTCATTTTTAATATTTCATTTTAATCTTAATAACATGTTTAACGGCTATTTGTAAAATATACAAGGATAAAATTAATTTCTTGTAGGTAGTTGGATAATCTCATCTGTCATTTGAGAAATATCTTGAAGTTGCTGTACATTTTTTAATAGTATTTGCCTATACAAGCACTTTTAAACTTTCCTTAAAATTCATATTTATATAGCCCTCTGCGGGGCCCTTGCGACTGGCCAGTTTAGTGCAACAACTCACATAGAAATTACACAAATATTCTAGATTACTGTGGCGAAATTCAGCAAAATGTGTCTCCTATTTACATTGTTGGTATATTTTGTTTTTCTGTAGAGAGAACACCAAGCCGCTGTTGAACGACAAAACAGAGGAAGAGGGACAGTAAGTATAGAGTGGGACTTCCAGAGAAGAATCTTGGGCCCGTTTTACGAAAGGACTTACGACTTAAGACCAAAAATTCTTCTTATAGCTTTTTAATTATCATAACATCGAAAATTATTTTAAACTTATTAAAAGGAATTTGGTAAGATATTTTCACAAAAACAAATTTAAAGAGAATTATTAATTTAGCAAAATTTTACAATCATCTGAAGTTTTTTGGTCTTAGTCGTAAGTTCTTTTTGTAAAACGGACCCCTGGCTCCGAAGTCATAAAATTATCTTCTGTAAATAAAATCATCTTAAAAACGACTGAGATTTAAATGTGCTCATAAAGACAGTAATATCGTTTTCTATTTGCTATAAGTGTAATCGTTGGATCTTACTTATTTACTTTTAGGAATGGAAAAGAAGAGGAATTAAAGGAGATGGAACCAGAAGAGAAAGAAAAGGCTGATGAGAAAACACCAACGGTAAGTTTCATAGAGCTAGGTGATCTCATAAGATGTTATGAAAAGATGGACAAAATTAGTGTCTTCAGAAATAAAAAAAAGTATGGATTTGTTTTTTGTAGTTAATAAATAATTAAAATGGTAAAAAAAAACTTTTTTAAATAAAAATGTATTCAGATTTATATAATATGAACGCCCCCCCCCCCCTTTTCAATAAGTTTTGGTGAAAAACAAACGCATTTGATTTTAACAATATGTGTCAATATCCTCAATATTTAATAAGTTTAACTTTCTGTAATGCTTGATTTTAACTAAAGATTGAGACTGCTGAGGAGGCAAAACCAGCACCGGAAACACCAAATAAGGAAACGCCAACAGATACCAAACCCGAGGAGAAATCACCGACCACTGAAACCAAACCCGAGGCTCCTACTGAAAAGAAAGAGGAGAAATAATAGAAACATTAGTATTTTAAAATTTTTACTTCCACTTGAACAGTTTTCAGCAGATTTTATATTACTTAATAAGATAGTGTAAGTTGTCAGGAGATTCAAAATAATAAGAGAACTTACAAAACGGTCATCAAATAATCGTTAAGATCGTACTTGTGCAGAAATATGCAATACCTAGATTGATCCGGGGTCCCACTGGTTTTCACCATGTTCACTGTAAAAATAACTTTAACAATTTCAAAAATGAAAAGAAAAAACTGAGATTTACCTTAGGTTTAATACATTTTATCAAAAGCTAGTGTAATATTTGTGAGTGAACTTACTGTATTTTCCTGCATACTGGTGTTGTTACACTAGGTATTGTCAGGGTCTCTGACAGTCTTGTATATTCTCCTAAAAAACATTACATGTTTCTTTTTAGGAAGGAAGCAAATACTTTTGTGTGCAAGAAAGATTTTTTGTTCTAAAATCATTGGCTATACTGTATTTTTATTGAAGATTATAGTAATCTTTGAGAACGTGTGCATAATAATGTTATAAAGAATTCCAGTCCCAAAGGAACATAAGTAAGAGAATGTTTAAGTTGTTTGTAGTCAGCTTTTTCTCTGTCATCATTGTGTCCAGTTAAACTGTGTTGTGAATCATATATCTTTACTTCTCTAGTGTTGTGAATGCAATTCTACATATATATAGATACACACACAATCACACTATGGATAAAAAAATCCATTTCAAGCTCAAATCAACCAAAAAATCACTTGTCAAATGACACTGCAGTAGACTGTCTGTCTCCTCAAAAAGTGCAGTAACTCTTGACCTGCTGTCTCCTCAAAAGGTGCAGTGACTCTTGACCTGCTGTCTCCTCAAAAGGTGCAGTGACTCTTGACCTGCTGTCTCCTCAAAAGGTGCAGTAACTCTTGAACAGAGTACCAAAGCTTTAAACAGTTGCGAGACCTTAAAAAGTTAAACCAAGTAGAATACTTAACCATAAGCAATATTCTGCTATTAACCTGTATAATGCTGTATTATAATGTACATTATCCATGGTAGATTGTATCTCACAGTGTTTAGTAATGTTAGTTATAGATATTGTGGAAAGTGAATGTATGCAATCATAATTCGTATTCATTCCAATTTTTTTGCGCAGTATGATCACCAATTATATACTTGTATATATACTTAACGCCTTGCTTATTTTTTACTCTATACAGAAAGAATTTATTCAAAAAAGATGAATCTAATCGTTTATAGTTTCTGAACAAACCAAAAAAAAAATCATTTTTATAATTTTTTTGAAATATATTAGCAATATTTCCGTAATGTATTTTTGTGGCAGATGTAATATTTTTTACGTGTTAGTAGACCTCGAACAGTGTCGTGAAACAATGTGAAAATTATATATAAAAAATTTGATCCATGTCTGTTTGCTATTCTATTTTGTATAAGTATGCAATATAGCTTGAGTTTTTGATTGACGAAAATTTTGGCGGAAAATAGTCAGAATTTTATAAAAGTGATAGCTTTGATGCTGGTCAGTTTAACATGCATAATAACTTGGGCGTTTTTATCTTCAGGACAGGTCACTGCCTCTAAGATATTTTGAGCTTTCAAATAAATCATAAATTAAAAGTACAATTATGTGTTTTCATAGCCTCAAAATCAAGAGATCTTAATGTTACATAATATTTTATAAATTGTTTCAGATTTATCAGTATATTTATTATTTTCCCCTATTCTTGTTATTTAGTGAGAGATTTTCAAATAAAGTTAATTCTAATAATTCAGCAGTCTGGTTAAAATCAGATCCTCGATCCGCTCCTTTGTTGTGGCTCGGGAGGCGAGAGAAAAAAAATAAGAATGCAATGAGGGTTTGATTTTAATCGGACACCGAATAATTCAGGTATTTTTTTTTTCAAAATCAGGAAACAAGTTATCTGTTACATTGAATCACTACCTCGGATTCAGAAAGATATTATTTAATCAAAGATTCATCTCTTAACGTTATGTCTAGTAGGTTTTACAAGAATTGAAAAAGGTCCACCAAAACTGAAAAGTTTGAATGTATTTTGCTCGGGAAAATGTTAAAACAATGCGAATGAATGACTCAGAGCAGCATGTTATACTGGTGAAATTTGCATAATATATTTTATCTTTTTACATTTTGTGTGAAGGTGTTATGCTGTCAATTTTATTTGTATTTTTGCTGAATAAACTGTGCCATATATGGAACTGTGTTTTAATGCACTTTAACTGAACTCAAGAAAAATACGCGTGCCTATTTATCTACTAGACAAAACTTTCAAAGAAAAAGAGTAAATGCTTGTACGAATTTGATGTAGACCTGACAATACATTGCATATGAAGTTGTGAATGAAACGAGACAACGTGTATGACAGGTTTATTGCAAGACCGATTTCTTTGACTATGCTTACGTCTTTGATAGTGTTTAAAATTCCCATCACATTCAAATTGCAACACTATGGACTTGAAAGATTACCAGCACTATGTTCTTGACCAGTGAGCATCTGCTCTAGAGTCGCGAAGTAAGGAGATGATCCTTCCGTTGTGGATTTGAATCCAACTGTGGGACGTAGAGACCGGCCCTTTAGATGAGACCGGAGAAACCGAGGTCCCATGTCGTAGTAGGTGCTGGCACGAAAAAGATCCCTGACTGCTCAATGGCCCTTTTTACTTAATACAAATGTATATACGTTTGATGAAGATTTACTGAAATCAGATCAAAACTGTAAAAGGCCCGGGCAGCAATTGGAATGGATTTCACAACCCATCCACATACATCACTGTAATATACGAGGGCTGTTCAATAAATAATGTTCTCGGTGCTCAGAAAGAAGCAAAGGACGCTTTTCAATGATTTAGTCTTCATGATTTTACTTATTAATCTCTTTTAATTAAAACACATATCCGTAACATTATCCAATTTCTGATTGCTTTCAGAACTCATTTTTGGGCATGACCCTTAGTATACTGGAAAATGGCAGATTCAATGATTTCCTGGACCTGTTTCTTGGTTCTGAAAGGTGTTTTTTTTTCAAGTTTGGAAATAGAAACAAGTCAAAAGGTCAAAGATCTGGCGAATATTGTTAATGTGAAAAACATTGACTTTCTGTTTATCCCGAAAACCCCTTTAGGGCATGCGGGTTTGGACGCTGTCATGAAGAAATTCAATGTAGTGGATTCCTGATTCTTGGTCCTTCCTCTTATAAACCTTTCGATTTTATTTTTTGCAAAAAAAAAATTGCCTTTTAAACTCCTCCAGAAACTAAACTGTCTCCCCGAATACGAATTTGAACAACTATACCACTAATATTTCAGAAAATTGCATATAAATCTGTCTGTGCTCTTGTATATCTTTGCTCTTGTCAGACCTTCGCTGTTTTTATCAAGTACATCTTATGGTAAATTTTGATTTGATGATTTTAGGCAAAAGATTTATATTCCAATATCTGTTTGAATATAAAGCAAACGTGGATAACTACAATTACTGCTGTTTTAAAGTAATTGTTAAGACTTTCGTACACGCTGTCGTTTTTACTGATTTTTTCAAAATATAGAGTGACCTTTGCGTACCAGGCCTTTTTACCGTCAAACGTTTCTTAAAAACAGTGTAAACTACTCCCGATATGATGTCTATCAAATTTGCTATGTGTCTTAAAGTCAATCATACCTCATCAAATATTATTTGTTGAAATTTGGAGAACAGTACATAAGTTGTTATAATTTTTGTTGGCAAAGACGGTACCCATTTTTGATGCCCATTATATATTTTTTTATTATTGAAATCCACTACTCATTTGTCTATAAACAGGCATTGGTTGCTGTAAATGTCACATATTTCAGTGAATATTTCTTTGGGATGTTTATCAAGTTTTAGAGCAGCTCTAATGAAGCTTTTATTTTCCCTATAGTTTACTGATTCTTTACCATTCATTTATAATGCAGTGTCTCGAATAGCCCTTGTTTCCCAGCTTCTCACGATGAAACTATGTGATGAAAAATGGTCACATAAACTGTTATAAATTCATTAAAGATTCAATAATGAGAGAAAGTCAAGTTTAATGTCATATGATACCTGTATTGTATGTCATACAGTTCAGGACATTATTTATTGAACAACCCTCGTACTAATGTTAAAACACCATGCTGCCAATTTGAAATTAATATTTTCGTTATAATGAGCCATTATTGACAGGCCTTGCAGGAGTCCTATTTTACAGTTCCAAAGTCCACAACTTGATAGATGATCAATATAGAATTCATACCGAAACTCCTACTGCTCTTACGTCGTCAAAATTATGTGATTGTTCTAGAAAAAAAAGATTTAAAAAAATATTTTATCTTCAGTTTTCTGGTTTGTTTTTTCCTTCTTAAAAACCAAGTGTTCCCTTAAAGAGAGAAAATTATTAAAAAAGAAATTAGGGAATGAATATTAGAAATTTTGATTTATTTTGGGCTGTCCATTGCCATCAACTAATTTTATGAGCTAATAATGCAATATAATAAACACTGTTTTAGTATTAATCATATTACCTTATGTTATAAACAAGATATTATTCAGGAATATTATTCCTCGTGCAAACAGAATTAAGGGGGGGGAGGGGTATTGCCTGCCTGCCTGCACTGTCCGTCTGTCTGTACATCTGTATGTGTACTACAGATATATTTCGTCCATACATACTAGTACATGTTGAAACTTCTGCAGCGATTTGTCTAAAAATTTGATCATCACTATTCTTATTCACAATCTTAAGATGTACACTTTGTATTTTCCAAGTAATAAAACAATTTGTCATGTTAAGGACATTGGCACGTATACAATTCTTCAAGAACATATGAACAGGTAAAAATGGTACCAAAAACATGTTTAATTCTGGTTCGTTTAACCCAACAATCCACTTACTTACTTACTTAGGTCTGTCGTTCCGTGAGGAACATACATGTATATAGGCCATCGATGACAGTCCTCCAACGGACTCGATTCTGAGCTGCTTTAGCTGCATCTTAATTGCCAGGTCATATCCTGTGTCTAACTCTGACTCCGAGTCACATCTCCAGGTGTTTTTAGGACGTCCTCTCTTCATTTTGCCCTGAGGGTTCCAAGTCAAAGCGTGGCGTGTGGTGCTGGATGGTGACTTCCTTAGCGTGTGTCCAATCCAGCCCCACTTCCTCTGTCTTATTTGTATGTCCACTGGTTCCTGTCCTGCTCTTTTCCATTGTTCTTCGTTGGAGATCCTTTCAAGCCATCGGATGTTGAAGATGCGTCTGAGACGGGTGTTGTAAAATGTCTGGAACTTCTGCAGGATAGCTTTGGTCAACCTCCACGTCTCTTCACCATACCATAGGACGGACTTTACATTAGAGTTGAGGATCCGCAGTTTGGAGGTAAACGTATGTTCTTTGAGGCCCAGATGTCCTTTAACATGGTATATGCAGTTCTTGCCTTGCTAATTCTTGACTTGATGTCATGGTCTGTGCCATCCTGTCTGTCCACCACACTTCCCTGGTAGATGAAGGACTCTTTGATGAAGGAAACGTATTTGATGTGCTCACCACCAACTGTGACTGGTGTTTGGACGTAGTGTTTATCTTTATCAATTCTGTTTTCTTCAAGTTGATTTTGAGGCCTGTTCCTGCCGAAGTTGTTGCAAGACGAGTTGATTTATTCTGTATCTGCTTTGGTTGTGTGAAAGGAGAGCAAGGTCATCTGCAAAATCAAGATCGTCGAATTGCGTCAGGATTCCACTGTATACTATTGTTCCAGCCTTATGTGGTAGTCTTCATGATCCAATCAATGACCAAGAGAAAAAGAAATGGTGACAGCAAGCAACCTTGTCAAACTCTGTCTTGACTTCGAAACTCTCAGACACCTGCTCAGCATGGGCAACCTTACATATCATGCCTTTGTAGGTTTTCGAATCTGGGAGACTAGCTTCTCTGGTACTCCATTGTGCCTCAGTATCTTCCACAATGTCTCTCGGTCCACGCTGTCGAATGCTTTCTCATTGTCGATGAAGTTGACATAGAGGGGGATTTCCACTCCAGTGATTGTTCTATAATGATGCACAGACTGGCTATCTGGTCAGCACATGATCTGTTGGCTCTAAAACCAGCCTGTTGGTCACGGAGCTTTGGGTCCACTGCTTCTTTCATTCCCTCGAGAAGTATTCTGTTGTGCTAGGCACTGACAGGAGCATGTAGTTACTGCAGTCCCTCAGATTTCCCTTCTTTGGCAGCTTAATAAAGATACCTTCTTTCCATTCTTCCGGAATGTTCTCTTCGTCCCAGATCTTATTGAAGAGGTAAAGGATGTTAATGATGTCTCTGTATCAGCTTTGATGGCTTCTGTTGGTATCTCATCAGGCCCTGCCGCTTTTCCATTTTTAAGTTTATTAAATGCTCTCCCGATCTCTGTCTTTCTTGGCTTGTCGCAGTTGATCGAAAGGTCTGTATTGGCTGGTTGTATGTCTGGAGATGTTTCTGGTGTTGGTCTATTCAATAGCTCTCCGAAATGTTCTACCCACCTCTTTAATTGTTCTTCTATTGTTGTGAGAGGTTTCCCGTTCTTGTCCTTCACTGGCTTGTTTGTTTGCTGGAATTTGTTGGAGAGCTTCTTTTTGATCATATGCAGTTTTTTGAAGTTTCCTTGTCCCGCTGCTTCTTCAGCTTGTTTGGACAGGTTGTCGATGTAATCCCTTTTATCTTTCTTGTTGCTTTTCTTAACTTCTTTATATGTGGCTGTGCAGTCCTCTTGAGCTTTTGTCTTTCCTGTTCTTGTCTTGCTTGTATTCTTTTCCTTCCTCTCCTCCAGTTTCCTCATGGTATCACCAGATATCCACTCCTTGTGCTGAGTCTTTCTTCTGCCTAGAACTTCCTCTCATGTGCCTTGCCACATTTCCTTGATGTGCTGCCATTGGATCTCGATATTGGTATCATTGTTTTCGAGCTGGTCTTATAGTAGCTGGAATCTATTTGACAACCTGAGATGGAATGCTGTCTTCACTTCCTTAGTTTTGAGGGCACTGACTTTGTACCTTGTCCTCCTGTTTGTCATGTTGTTGAACTTTTTGAGGCGCACTCTTAATGCCGTAATCAGCAGATGGTGGTCTGATGAAATGTCTGCTCCTCTCGTCACCCTGACATCTTTTCATGCTCTTCTAAGTTTCTTGTTAATGTATATATGTTAGATCTGGTTCTCTGTAACTTGGTCC